CCCCGTAACAATATGCGTTTTGTACTGCTGTTACACAGCACAAAACGCATAAAAACGCATATTGTCACCGGATTGTCTCTTTGTGTCCGCAACAACTTGTCTGCAACTTTCAACTTGGGAACCACAAAAGCTGCGAAGCTGAAAATTTAGGGTAATGTCCCCCACTCACGTGTGACCCCGCGAATTTAAATTCAGCCTCCCCATACCTGCGGGTAGCATGTACGGCCCCGTCAAAATTTTAGCCGGGAAAATTATCTCGGAAACCACCGGAGTTAGGAAGCTAAAATTTTGTTTGTGTGCCTCTGGGCATGCTGCCTAGAAAATTTAAACTCAGCCTTCCCATATCCGTGGGTGACGCGTACGGTTCCGTAAAAATTTTGGCTGGGAAAATTATTGTCTCGGGAACCACGGAAGCTAGGAAGCTAGAATTTCGGGAGACTGTTCCTTGCTCACGTGCGACACCTGAAATTTAAATTGAGAGCAATGAAAATCATTAGCAGGCAATCGTTCGGGGAACGGAGTTGCATAAAACGCATGACTGCACTGGTTGCCGTTTGTGGGCGGTGCTATTTGTTGATGTTTTGTCTTCAGCGTTACCAGTTCTCCCAGAATATCACCTCCAGATTACATTTTAGTATACGTACCGACTAAAAGAGTCGGTGATCAACGTTATGGATTTTTTTTATCCACGGAAGTGACTTTTGATACCTTCTTAGTACAAGCGTACTTGTGCTGTCCTCGTTTTCTCAATATTCACCACCAAAAAGCTAAATTTGTCGTTTTGATTTCCACCAAAGAAAAATTTTCAGTGAAAAATTTATCATTTTCTCAAAATTTATCAATTTATCATTTTTATCATTCAAATTTATCATTTGCAATGAAAAATTTATCATTTTTTGAGGTTAACACCGGAACTTTTACGTGTGCATCCGTATGTTTCGGGCAGTCCGGCAGACATTGTAAAAGAAATTGTTGAATTTCCTGCCAAAGGTCATTACGCTGTTAATGCTTCCTACAGGTAAATGAATTTTACCAAAATTTTTCATGCCATAATAAATTTTGTGTTTTTTGGAATGGTAAAAATGCTACTAGTTATCGCTGGAATATTACAGGCACCAAAAAATCTATGAGAACCTTTGGCATTCGTTTTAATTTCAGAAATCTGCTTTATATTTATCCGCGATCTGTGAATTTATCAAATCGTTCGGGGCCATCACGTAACATTTCTGTACATATTGAACTGATGAACGGCCAGGAGAAGCCAGTTTGTGTTTTGTTTGGTAAATCGATTGGACCGAACACCGATTATTACGCTGACACCACTGTATCTTATCATAACAAGTATGTTTTTGAAAAAATGTAGCGTGTATGCGCTTGAAAAACTATAACATTTCTTACCATTGTAATAATAATCTTACAAATTTTCTTATTTTCATTTCTCACCTTCTTTTCCTTTCTTTTTCTCTTTTTTCCATTCTTATTATAACTTTTGATAAATCGCACATCGAATGAACAGTAGATGTTAATTGAAGGTATGCAGTTCAAATTCTGGCGTAAGTTCGACCGGCTTTTGGGACTATTAGACACGTGTAATACGCACAGACCCGATTTACATGCTGACAAATAGATGAGGGACGCTATGAGTAATATTTTGTATTTTTAACAAATATTTCTAAAATTAATAATAAGAGCTGTACAAATAGACCTTGTCCAAATCGTATCAGCGTGAGAAGAAACGTGACGATGAAACAACAGTTGAGCAAGAAAAACTGTCAAAAATGGCAGATAGCTTTTGGAAATCCTTATACGCTTTAACTCTTTTTTCCAGTTTAAATCCTTATATCTGTTGCGGCGCACGGTGAGTTTAATGGTTGGTGATAACGGTAAGAAATGTATACGACTTAATGGACCGAAACATTTCTTACCTAATTTATTACTACTTCTTTTTTACA